TAATGTATGTAAATATATTCATAATATTTAAATGCTATCGTGTTACATATTTATATTGGAAGGGTGGCCGAATGGATGATATTTTCTTAAGTCACGATTTTTAGATTNTGAGGGATGGTTCCTCTAAACCTAAAAAACATAAATTCAAAATTTCGAAAAATAATTTTGAATATAGAGCACAAGAATTATGATGCGCATTCTTTTTAACATCAAGGAAAAATCTCTTGTCACCATCCTGACGGAAAAAAAAAGAGTTGGCACTACACAGACATAACTTTTTTGTATGTCATGTGCTATAAGAACATATCATCCTCAAGCCATAACAACCACCAAACTAAACTAATTACTGACCAAGATCTGCACAATTGTCATTGCTGTATTTTAATATTGCATGATCTTAAACTTGTATAAGTTTGCTAAATATAAGGGCTTATTTTGGCTCTTGCAAATTTTAATATGACTTTGTTCGATCATGGATTTTTTCTTTATCAAGTCTAATGATGTTGCAAACTTAATTAAGTAAAAGCCATACAAAAAATAAAATCCCTACACGCAAAACAATTCCAGTAAACAAAAATCTCTTTTAGAGCTATACAAAGCTATGATTAAATTCTTTGATGCGAGAGCCAAAATGAGCCCTTAATTAACATTGAATATTAAGATTAATGATATGATACCCTAATGAATGATATGATACCCTAATGAATGATATGATACCCTAATGAATGATATGATACCCTAATGAATGATATGATATCCTAATGAATGATATGATACCCTAATGAATGATATGATACCCTAATGAATGATATGATAATCTAATGAATGATATGATACCCTAATGAATGATATGATACCCTAATGAATGATATGATACCCTAATGAATGATATGATACTCTAATGAATGATATGATACCCTAATGAATGATATGATACCCTAATGAATGATATGATACTCTAATGAATGATATGATACCCTAATGAATGATATGATACCCTAATGAATGATATGATACTCTAATGAATGATATGATACCCTAATGAATGATATGATACCCTAATGAATGATATGATACCCTAATGAATGATATGATACCCTAATGAATGATATGATACCCTAATGAATGATATGATACTCTAATGAATGATATGATACCCTAATGAATGATACGATACCCTAATGAATGATATGATACTCTAATGAATGATATGATACCCTAATGAATGATATGATACCCTAATGAATGATATGATAATCTAATGAATGATATGATACCCTAATGAATGATATGATAATCTAATGAATGATATGATACCCTAATGAATGATACGATACCCTAATGAATGATATGATACTCTAATGAATGATATGATACCCTAATGAATGATATGATACCCTAATGAATGATACGATACCCTAATGAATGATATGATACTCTAATGAATGATATGATACCCTAATGAATGATATGATACCCTAATGAATGATATGATACCCTAATGAATGATATGATACCCTAATGAATGATATGATACTCTAATGAATGATATGATAATCTAATGAATGATATGATACTCTAATGAATGATATGATACCCTAATGAATGATATGATACTCTAATGAATGATATGATACCCTAATGAATGATATGATACTCTAATGAATGATATGATACCCTAATGAATGATATGATATCCTAATGAACGATATGATACCCTAATGAATGATATGATACCCTAATGAATGTAAATTCTAAGTGATAGTTCCCGTATTATGAAACCCTTAAAGAAATTAACAGCCCCTCTAGTGAAGAGGAATTCAACAGTGGTTGCCAGCCTGTGTTTGTGTATATGAGACACTTGTAGCTTCTATTTCTACCATTCTAGAGTTTAGAGAGTTCTGGATCTCTGATATCATGTCAGCCAGTGATATCAATCTGGAATTTCAGGAATTACCGATGGTAACAGTTTAAATTGAAGCTATAAGTGTCTCTGATTTACATTCAAAGTCTAGAATACCTCTTTGCAATTCCTTAAAATAACATAAGCATGCTTGTGTAAAGTCTGAAGTTTTTTTTTTTGCACTTAAAGCATGTGATTGTTGTTGAGTTGGAAATTTGTCTGTTGGCTGTGCATGTTGAAGGTTCCTCAACAAATTTGGCCAGTGTAAAAAAAATCACTTATTTCTTATTGCATCGTGAAAAATTTATTTCTTAAAAATGGAACGATTGGACATTAACCTAAAAGTTTGCCTAGTTGTACACTGCCATGCATTTCCCATTCTTATTAGCACAATTAGGAACGATTTATCAGAATCCAAAGTGTTTCAACAATCAGAATAGTATTAATTTATTCTGGTTTATTACAGAGTACAACAGCCAAAGATTCTATAGAAAGAAAGTACATGTTAATGATCACAACTACCACCTTAGAAAAGTAAGTTATTGTATTCAGTTGTGCTCGATTAGAGAGTTCCGTCTCTTCCAATTCTGCCTCCAATCGAATGTATGAAAGCGGACGTCACATTCAAAATTTTCCCATCTATTTCCTTCTCCACCATTTTGAATTCCGTCTGCACCTAATATTTTTTCGGCACATGTTAAACGCGTTCTGAACTCTGTTCCAACTTGTTTGATTGAATGTTCTGTTGATTCCAGAACTCACCAATCCAGCAGCCTCTATGTTGTAGCCATTAACAGGACATACAAAAAAAATCTAAGAAATTAAAGCTATCATGCCTTTATAAAAAAAAATTAAACCCTTGTGTCTGCCATGAGTTGACCACATTTACTTCTATTAGACTTAATTATATTAAATGCATGATAGCTTTAAGTAGCCATATAGAGTGTTAATTCAAAAAACACCACAAATTGTTAAGTAAATATTTAATGATGTACTTTTGAAGTTTGCAAGCAAAAAACTACTTATGATTGTAATGCTTATCTACTATTCTTAAGAAATTTTTGCTTACTTTCAGACAATCAGCAGCTTTTGAAATCAGTACCAACAGAAATAATCAGAGAATTTATTTATTTTCTGCCGAAAATGAAACAGAGAGGAGGTTGTGGCTACAAGCTTTATCTAGGGTAGGTGTAGAATTATCTTAGAAAAAGGGCTCTTAGGGAAGTTTGACGGCACCAACGATTTTCAAACTTCAAAGTTTCAAAAACTACACTCCTAAACAAAGCAATGCTACCAAAATACCAAATTTATTTTTCAATGTTAACAAATTCAAGCCACACCTAAGTATTTTCTTGAGTTGAATGTAAAGTAGTCAAGGATTTTAAATATCGTGGGCAAATGAAACGAAAAAACCTCACTTTTAAAAAAATGACAAAACTACAGAAGTGTAAACGAATCAACATGACCCCAATTTGCCTCATTTGGATTGCATTTGATAGTACACCATCTCTTTGTTAAATATAAAAATATTTTTATATTGTAGTTAATTTGTCCTATAACAGTCATGGACCATGTTGGAATGATGGATTTCTCTCTAGCTGGAAATTTCTATATGAAAGATTCTATAGCAGAGGTTAGTTATTATTAATGATTTAAGCGTCTTAATGGTTGGAAAGAGATTTCAGATATCTGTTTCCCTTTTCAAAATGAGATTGAGCTTGATTAGATGTTAAAAAAGAATATTAAGACTGCATCTGCGTTGGCCTATGAAGTAAAAATTGAAAAAGTACAAAAAGTACTTAACATAAATTATTGAAGACTTAGCACATGCACAAGGCGGATTTAATATGTCAATCAAAAATAGCCACTCCCATCTAAAGAAATGATAACATACAAAAACAATATTTTCCCCTGGGTGGCTTGGCAAGTTAGGTTCTTTTTCGCTACCAAAAAGAGTGGGGTGTTCTAGTAGACTAATTTCTGACAAAATTTCCTTCAGTGCACACTGCATAGCTTGGCATATTGAATTTTTCCCTTTCTGTTTTAGGATTGGACTCGAACATGGATTATGATCAATTGGAGAATATTATATTATTTAAGTAAAGAAACTAATAAATTAGAAACAGTGGATTTACGGAAAGCCAGTAGTATCAGTAAGTTATCTTCTTGTTGAAATCTTTTAAATGGTATACATGACTAGAGCTCATCTCATACTACCAATACATGTTTTAGATACACAATCATCATCAGGACAGTTTGTTTTGAAAATGGGGTAAACTTTCTAATATATGACTTAATGTTAGCTTACAACGCGAACTCATCTCATGCTACTGGCACATGTTTTAGATACATGACCCTCATCAGGACAGTTAGTTTTGAAAATGGGGTTAACTTTCCAATTCAGGCATACAATCAAAGTTTATTAATTTTATTTCAGAACATCAGGGAAGTGAAACAGGTTGTAATAAATGTTTAGAATCTGGCTATCATTTTGTGGTCAACTCTCCTGGAAGGTGAGTGTCTTTTAATCAGATTTCAAACCTACAATATGGACCTAGTAAAACAGCTAGCAAGATTTTCTAATGAACAGTGAAGAATACCAATATAAACGTATTTTTGTGGAGCCTCTGAATTGAAAATGAAATATACTAACCTAAATGTCAAATTTACATTGTTATAAATGTGTCTTCTACTATGAAGATGGCCAAGTTGACAAACCCAATTGCGTAATGGTACCATGTGTTCGAAAATACAAAAGTTGAGTAAGGTCACTATTTTTAAGGATGGGGAGCTGTTTAGACAGTAGTGAGTGAGAAAGGTTTTGTGAGGTTTGACAATAAAATTTTCTGTTTTTTTCAGGGCTCTCTATATTCAGGCTGATCTAAGTCGTGATACAGAAAGACTCCGAATTGAACTGGAAAAATCAATCAAGGTAATTGTTAAGTTTGGATATGCACCATTTCAGTATTTATAACATCACTATCACAATAGCTGCGGGAGTGAATTTGCTGAAATGACTTTGTAAAATGCTAAAGGTGTCTTCACACCATAGTGATAACCAGTTGTATATGGTTGCTAATAATGAAATGGTCCAAATACAACTCAGAACTCAAACTTAGGACCGCCATTCTTATGGTGATCGCTATGGTGTGAGGGCCACGTTAGCATGGAGTGGAGTGGCAAAAACCATTATGTGGGGTGGGACACAAATCAGAGTCTTGTACTAATTAGTTGTATCTTGTTTTTAGAGTAGTGGTACAGCTCTAGATGATCAACAGCTGGCCTCAGATAACGTACCTGTTATTGTTGATAGATGTTTGAATTATATTACTAATAATGGTAAGTGTACAGAACTATACCAATATTGAATTGTTAGATTTGTGGACTCTCTGAAAGAGGTGCTGAGATGTCAAGCTTAAATACCAAATGAGCATTATTCGCTATGTAGTCTCTCTGAAAGGGATGCTGAGTTGACAAACTCAAATTCCAAATTAACATTATTAGCTATGTAGACTCTCTGAAAGGGTTGCTGAGTTGACAAACCTAAATACCAAATAAACATAATTAGCTATGTAGACTCTCTGAAAGGGATGCTGAGTTGACAATTCCAAAAACCAATTAACTAAGGTTCACAGTTATCCTTTCTATCAGCTGCTTCTACCAAACATCTTGGCATTGATCTTTTCTGGATTGACTTATTCAAGATTATCAAACTTTCACATGTTGACTAAGATAAGAGCACATGACCATTATATGTTGGAAGTAACCAAGCAATGATGTCATATAGAGATTCCAACACTCTAACTGACTGTGCTACATCAGCTGTATATAAGCAGTGTGTTAGATATTAGTTGTAATATGTTTGATTTTATTGATACAGGTATTAAAACTAGAGGTATTTATCGTGAAAGTGCCACCCATTCCAGAGTTAATTTATTATTAACAGAACTTAGAAACGGTAAGTTGAATCAAATTTCAGGTATATATCGTTTGTTTTGATCCCACTCAGTGAGTTTTATATTGGAAATTTAACCCTGGTTGTCCAACTAGCTATCCTGATGAGGATTGTGTATCAGAAACACATGACATGCACAATCAGTATCGTATTTAGGGTGTTGGCCATCTGGTCATCCCCCTCCCCTCAGGCCTTTTTTTAAAGTGATAATTAGGCCCTCTAAATACTCAAAATTCATCTTTGCCATCTGACTTCTATTGGCTTATTGGGGCCTCCGGCAGCCCCAGCTCCCCCGGCTTCAAGGGGCTTTGGCCTCGCCTTGGAAAGCCACCTCTCATTTTTGGTCTACCCTCAGGCATTTTCTAGATATGCCCCTGTGTGCAATAAACCCTACAAAAAATTAAGTTAGTGGTTTATCACATGATTCAACTTTCACAAATACTGGACTATATTTTACAACCTTATTTTATATTCAGATCCACGAAGTGTTCGTTTAGAAGATTATTCAGATCACGAAGTAGCTAATGCTGTGAAACGTTTTCTTCGTGGACTAACTTCTTCAGTATTTACTCAGGATTATATACAATGGATGCAAACTGCAGGTAGGTGATGACATTTTTCTAATCTACCAGAACTTGGTTTTGTTGTTTGTTTAAAAAGGTTTTGTTTTCCCTAATGTCAAAATATTTGACGCTCATTTGCAACTTAGTTGGTCAGCATCTGTTTAAGAGAGTTCACATAGCTTATTATTTTATTTTGGTTACTCAAAGCAGCATCTCTTTAAAAGAGTTCACATACTTTGATGTCGCTGGAGTACAAATAAAAGGTCACTGGTCTCATAATGACGGTAGTCACTTATCAGTCGTTTAATACTTTGATAAGTCGTCAGTGGGGACTTTATTGTGGTCTCATATTGAAGGTGATATTTTATAAAAGGTGGTCATTAAGCAGGACTCACTGTGTTAAAGTATGTGTTTGATCTTTCAGCTATCTCAGAGATTAAGAACAAGCTAGCCTGGTATAGTTATTTATTAGATCGTATGCCAGAAATACATTTTAATACCTTGAAAAAAATAGTCATGCATCTTCATAAGTAAGTTTACTTTTATTAATGCTTTTATAACCAGAGATTTTCACAAAAAATACCAATTCCTCTTGTCAGTGATGCAGGTTGGAGAGGTTGACATGGAAAAAAATGTCTAGTTGTTTGGATGGGACAATAAATCAAGGCCCTGTGTGCTACAGGCTGTGCATGTGAAAGATCCCTCGACAGTTGGAAATCGAAAAGGAGTAGACTAATGCTGCTTTCCTGGCAAAGTTTCCCACATTGAAAACTGCATGGTATTATAAGACTGAACAAGACTGTGGTAGAAAACTTGTTAGATTACAATGAAGATAAAAAATATCTGAAAACAAAAAAGAAACAGAATTGTAATCTTGTTTTAACAAGATTGAATAATGACTTGTTATATTTTAGAGTGAACCAATATACCAGTGAAAATCAGATGACCTTAGAAAACCTTGCTACCTGTTTCGCTCCCTCCTTGTTGATACCAGATGCTTCTGAGGTAAATGTATACTGTATATTTGTGAATATAATGCACACCATTTCTTACCCTGGAGTAAATTTTGCTACTTAATATAATATGAACAGTACGGACAAAAAAAAAGTCATTATGGCATAACACAGACACCATAATATTGAATTTTAACATCCAATATTTAGCTCTTGAGTTCAAAGTCCAAAGACTTTATTGATATCAAGCTCCACTATAAGTCTTGTAGTTTTTAATTCCTTTTTATTCTACCTGAAAAAATGAAATGAAATGAATGGAGTTTTACGTCTTACTTTTCTGCACCATGTGGGCTAATGAAGATGGGCAACACCATTTGAAAAGGACAATGGCATTAGCATATTCTACCTGAAATCTATATCTCTATAATGTTTATTATATTTATGTTTCAGGTACCAGCAAGTTATCAGACCAACCTTCCATTACAACTGTGTGTTATCTCTGATATTATCAACTATCATGACTCTTTATTTCGTGTGAGTATTCTCATTACAATCTGTATACATTCTTGATTTTGGTATGTTCTAAATGAGTTCAAATTTAAACCAATCATATGATCAAATACCTCTGAATTTTAAAATAAACATGATCTTATTTCAGTTAGACCAAGAAAAGTCAATAGAGGATAAGATGGATGAAGCAGAAAGAAAAATAAAAGACATAGAATCCAGTCCCAGAATGGTAAGTAAGGGGAAAGACAGGGGCAGGGGCAGGATGATGGTAAGTTAGGTAATAGGGGGTGGGGTCAATGACAGACTGGTAAGTTAAACGATGAGGGGTGGTGTTCTAAATATTTGCCTTAACAGAGCTCAATTTCAGCTATCTGTATAGCTGTCTTAATATGTGCTTCACCAGCTGATAGAGCTCAATGTCAGCTATCTGTATAGCTGTCTTAATATGTGCTTCACCAGCTGATAGAGCTCAATGTCAGCTATCTGTGTAATGGTCTAAATAATTGCTTTACTAGCTGATCAAGCTCAATTTTAGCTATCTGTACAACTGTATAAATATTTGCTTATAAGCTTTTAGAGCTCAATATTAGCTAACTGTATAGATGTCTAAATATTTGCTTTACCAGCTGATAGCATAGTTGTCTTAAAGATTTGGTTTAGCAGCTGATAAAGCTCAATTTCAGCTGATGATAGAGCTCAATTTCATATGTATTAAATTCTTTTTAGATAGCAAATCTGAAGTCTGATGCATCTGTAAGTCAAATAAAGCATAGATGTAGAGATCTGATTTAAAAGATCAAAACAAATTGGGGAGATCCTAAATCATGAATACCATTTGGAAATGGATAATACAAGAAAGATCTATTGAACTTGAAGTAAAGTTGACCTATGTCTTGTTATTTTCAGTCGATGCCATCTGATAGTTTATTAATACCTATAACCAAATATCAACTGAACGGTGACTGTGAGATGGTCACGGTAGGCTCAGTTTTAACTCTGTATTATCTTCATAATCTATAAGTCAAAATCAGGAAACCTTGGTTGCTCAGTGAGTTAGACGCTTGGTCGCTAACCTGAAGGTCCAAGGTTCAATCCGTGCAATGGTCGAGAGAATACCTTCAGATTTTTTAACTCCATTTCAGTGATGCAGGTCGGAGGGGATGACCTGGAAAAAGCATGTACTTATTCAGATAGGACAATTACCAAAGGCCCTTCATGCTACAGGCTGTGCACATTGAAGATCCCTTGACAGTTGGAAATTGAAAAAAAACAAACAGACTAATGCTGTTGACCTGGCAGAATTTCCCTCATTTCACACTGCATGGCGTTACCTATGTCTAGTGCTGAGATAAAACTATTGTAAACTCTGTCTATTTTATTGTAGATTACAGCTAGAAATACAGCTATGGAAGTAGTAGATTATTTTTATAATAAACGAATTGTCGTAGAACGAAATTACAATTTACATGAAATCTTATTTGATGGAAAATTAGGTAAGTTATAATCAATATACTGCTGACCTCATACCATTAATACTTATATTTCTACAAATATCTTTGTATTGGAATATATCTAGATTTTTATATGCCCACTTCTGTTTTGATTGAACATATATCGTCAGTACCCATGTCCATCCATTTCTTTTCCTTAACTAGCTATCCTGATGAGGATTGAGTATCAAAAACTTATGTCGGCATACTTTACATACGTAAACTATTAAAATCATGTAATTATGAATCATGTATTTTAAAGAGCGCCCTCTACACTGGTCGAATCAGGTATTTCTAGACGTCTGCCGATGGAGTGACTGGACGGAAGATATCAGGAAAGGTTTCTGTTTATGTTTAAAAACAAACGAACTCATGTCAAAGATCAACGATTCCGTAAGTTGAAATTTTTCAGAAAATTCATACAGATCAAAAAACTTTTTTTTTCTTACATTTAATTAAAAACTCTTTTGAGTCTCAAATCAATAAAAAACCATATGACTAGGTTTCCCTCATTGCTTACTGCATGGTGTTGCCTGTCCTAAAGTAGACCATCACAGTAACATGTACTACTTCATGTCAAACTTCAGTTAGGACACAGACTGAAATAGATCAGTTGTCTAAATATCGCATAGCGTGAAACTCTGAGAGACAACATGTTTCAGGTTCTGTTTAAATAATTATGTAATATAACTTTCAGTATGATCCTAGTAAATATTTACTATCAGAGTTGAAATATAGTGAAAAGAAAAGCTTTAAAAAGATGACGTTTGATTTTAAACAATCTAGATTCTCCTGTTATAAAGATTCTAAGGTAAAAAATTTATCTCTTCTTTTATACTTGGCTGGCTTCTGTTTTTTTTAGAATTTTTGTACAAAATATTTATTCAGATAATATCGTCATGTTAGTAAAGCATACATTTAAATAACCAAGATTGGTTATAGTTTGCTAGTCATTTATTTGACACCCCTTAAATAACTATTGAACTCTTCCACACATGCATACTTTCTATCAATATGAAACTGTATATGTATGATTGGAAGAGCTCATTAGTAAAATGAGGGGTGTTTTTGGTGGTTTTGTTATTTATATCCAGTATTAGATGACTGGACAACTGTTTCACTTTGAATAAAGGTAAACTTTGTACCATATTTTTATATTTATTACAGGCCAACAACTGTTTATGGAGTATCAATGCTGAGGATATGATTATTTATATCGGAGTTGATCCCAGACGATCTTCTATTCCCTCCAAGTAAGTTATCTCCCTTTATTTTAAGTTATCCTTTATTTTAAGTTATCTCCCTTTATTTTCAATCAGTTGGCTGACTTTGCTCATACACCGAAAGTTCAGTATTGAGAAATTTTACCCAAAATAGATCTTATATCTGAAACACTTGTCAGCATGAGATGAATTGATGTATCTGATGGTTAATGACTTTTTTATTATTTTTATTATTTCAGATTTGGTTTTACGTTTTTATCCAAGCACGAGAAACCATCTAAGTGAGTATTTTTTTTTTTTTTAAATCAGTACAATTGTAAACCTAGCCTGGGGTTTTTATACCCAAGAAGGGTTCTCTCGAAGACCATAAAGGATTCTCAGAATGGCTTGTGAACTCAACAGAGGCCACAGTTTTTGTGAGAATTTCATCTAATCTGGTATTTAGGATCAGTTGTTCAGATGGGACAATAAACAGACTATGCACGTTAAAGATCCCTTGACAGTTGGAAATCAAAAAAGAGTAGGCTAATGTCGCTGTCCTGGCAAAAATTTCCCTCATTGCACCCTGAATGGCATTGCCCGTCATAAAAAGTAGGACGTAAATCTCCATTCATTTCATTTCTGATTAAGGATCAGAGTCCAACTGACAAATATTTACAGAGTTACTGCCCTTGATATACTGAATATGGTCTTGCTTGATTCTTATATTATGAATTTTGTTTTAATTATAGAAATGGATATTTCGGTAAAAGTGTATGTTTTACAAGTCAGGAAGATTTGTATAAATGGATATCAGCCATTCTCATGGCTCAGGTACAAAAATATATCTTATTTCTTATTTATAATATCTTGAAGAAGTAAAGGAAAGTCATGTGCTATAAAAGTCTGAAATAATCTCTATCAACTGTTTTGTGATTTGAACACACAGAAGAAAATCATGAATATTCTATGTACTAGTACAGACAACCTCTCTTGTTTAAAAAGGTGGTTTTGATTGATAAAAATTCATCGCTTTATACCAAGCTATTTGGATAAAAATGAACCATGGCCCTTTGTATTTATTTCAGTACAATGAAGGATTGCTTTACTAATGTAAATATCTTTATGGATACAGGTTAGTTCAGTCATTTTTTTTCTTTCATTTTTTTAGCCACATTGTAGAGAGTTCATGATGTGGAACTTTTTGCAATTTGTTTTATAATTGATATACTGCCTCAAATGAAAAGTTGATTCAATGTTTGTGGTTTGGATCATTGACCAATCAGATGAATTGAACGCTCATCTGGAGTTAAGTTTTTGTAAAAATGGATCCACTACATCATTCATTTAAGACTATGGTTTTTGTGCTCTGTTTCAGAATAAACTAGAATGGTGCTATGTGGTTACAGACTGTGATATAATATTGTAGACTTATCAAGTGCCTTGAGTAGTCCTATAAGATACTGAACAGTAGGATGTAAAACTCCATTTCATTTCCATATACTAGGACCATGACAAATGTGATAATGTTTTGTTTTAAGTGAATATTTGAACTAATTGTGTGCTTAGTGAAACATTTTCTTGAGTTGTAAAAACTGAAGGTAAATTAGTGACTTAAAGCTCCCATAAATAAGTGTGTAGTTGAATTGATTTGTATAGATATGGTTTTGTTTTACTGACTACAGCCGATAAACATTCAGTCAATAAAAAATGAAAGAGTCCTATCTGGAGAAGGAACTGGAAAAAGATTATTGATGTTTTTTTTTATTAACTTTAGTGAACAAATAATGTGAAATATTGAAAAGTTTTGAATCAAGCCCTTTAAGTAGTGAAACATGATGGATTTTATGGTTGACAATCAAATCATGGCTATAATGATCATTATAATTCTGGAAATGGATTATGTTTGCATTAGCCTAAATAAGAATAATTCACAGAGGTTGGTTCCAAAAAGAAGTGACATAGAAAAAATCTAAACAAATCAAATATGGACATTGCCACTAGCAGAATTGACGAGTAAATGAGAGACTATGTGAAAAGGAAGGAGTGCGCATTATACACAGGTGCGCATTATATACAGAAATATACGGTATTTGAAATAATATATTATGAATTTTTTTAGAAGTCTTCCTTCGTAATCTAAGTATTAAAAATGTACAAGATAATCTTTCTAAAATTCTGAAAGAGTTTCAGGGAAATAATTCAAAATATCTTCCATTCCAAACCATCTGCAAAATATTTATATTTTATCTTCTTTGATATTTTTAATATATATTCCAAATTTTACAAATTGTTAATATCTTAGATAATTTTTATGTACACATATTTAAAAAGTCAAGTATGGTCGAGCAAATATATTTATTTGTTCAGGTCTGATTCTAAATATAACAACGGGCAGTTCACGGTATATTCAGGTAGAATGAATAATAATTGATACTAAGGGGTGCTCGATTGGTGAGTCCTGCTCATTCGGGATTCATGAAATTAACAGAACTATCAATAAATCAAGTTCACAACACGCTACACGAGAGCCGAAAAAATAGTAGGTGCGGACAGATTTCAAATTGGCGTTGAGAGGAATAGAAGAGAAAATTCTGTTTTGATTTAGGCCAGAATTGGAAGATGGAAGCTGTTCAGAACTCAACAATGGAGTGCCACCTATGTATATGCCTAAATATGATTTGAAAAGGTTTCAATAACTATTTATTCTACTTCAAAATTGTGTAGATTGCTTCTGTTTAAGGTTTGAATCAGACTGTGAATGAAACTTATATCTTGGCTTGACTTATTCCATATTCCATATAGTTTTAATATTCCATATAGTTTTAATATTCCATATTGTTTATAAATAGCTTATATTACTTATTCCATATTTTAATATAACTGTATATTGAGCTTTAGATTCCTTATATATTCTTATATATTACTTATAGATTCCTTATATATTCTTATATATTACTTATAGATTCCTTGTATATTCTTATATATTACTTATAGATTCCTTGTATATTCTTATATATTACTTATTTCTGTGAATAACTGAAAATAACTGTATATATAGAACTATTGTTTTTCTTATAGATTCCTTATATATTCTTGTATATTACTTATAGATCCCTTATATATTCTTATACAAGTCTTATTTCTGTGAATAACTGAAAATTCCATATTTTAAAATAACTGTAGATAGAGCTTATATACTACTGTATTTCTTGTATATTCCTTATTTCTGTGAATATATGCTATAGTATATATAATAAATATATACTGAATATTCCATATATAACTGTTTATATAACTTGTTATCCATTTCTTCCTATATATTTTGTAAATATAGCTCATACTCTACAATGATTGTGCATAGCTTTTCTTCATATATAGCTTATATACTCCTTATATATTTTATAAAGTATATAGCTTGGTTTTAGCAGTATATTTTAGCTCATTATGGGGTCGCTTGATTGGTTAGTTCAGCACGTTCGGGATTCATGGAATGAACAGGATATTCAATAACATAAGTTGAAACAGAGTTCAGAAAGTGTTCCAGGTGTTCCGAAAAAATGTGACATATTCCGCTTCCGTACCATTCCATCGAGGACAGAATTGGAAAAGACGGAACCTGTTCAGAACTCTCCAATCGAGTGCCACCTTAATGTGTATCTATAAGCAAAGATATCTTTACACATCTGGTTTACATCAAAACATAAACAAGAATAGTTCACTTTATTTCAGGTAGAATAGATAGTATTTGAAACTATACAGGAAAGACTTGTATGGAGTTCTTTACCACTTAAACTACCTTAAAGTTAAAATGGACTAGTCGTGCCTCCAAAACTTAAGTTAAATTAAATCCACAATTTAAGAAATACAGTTATCTGATTGGATAACAAAACTGAATTTAAATTTTTTGATTGATTGACCAATCAGACTGAAATACTAAAATTGAAGGTAAGTTTTCAAGAATAAGGCCTCTGACCTAATGTCCGCATATAGCTTTCAGGATTATGCCTTGCTTGTTCAGTAATATACTTTATCATTTTCATTTGTAAAAATTCCATCTAGAAATGTAAATAATCATATTTTTATTTGTAAATATTTAATTTATTTTAGTAAATAATGTTTTCATTTTATCTCAAAACAATCAGATTAAAAGGCAGATAAATATTTTTTTGTTTCATGTTTTTGCTGAGGGTAACTGCATTGTACTTTAACAAAGATATTAATGCACAACTTTGTACGATTCAGATCATTAAAAAACCAGTTCATTTTATTTTAAGGTACTTTAAGTAATAAGGAACACAATTCTTACCTGTTTTGTAAAGTTCCAATATTAACTGTATAATTGCGAATATAATACGCACCTATTTCTACCCTCCTGAAAAAAACTGTCACATTAATTATTTTACCCAAAATAGATGTGCTTAAAGATGGGTTCCCTTGTTTTTATTTATGAAAATGAAAACGCTAACATTTATATGAATAGAAAGTAGAAGTGTTCTAATGACTTGGAAAAATACTAGTTTGTCTCACATGTCCATAATTAATTCATAATTAGCTAAATTAGAAGAGAATTACCAGCAGAATTCCAATGAGTGACCATTGAAAGAAAGGTCAAGAAGTTTTTTTTTGTTTATCCAGACTGTACATACATGGACATTTATGATTGGTTGAAACTCTTAATCATATACAATAAGCACATAATGATATGATTAAGAATACATGATAATTCATTAGAAACACCAATTAATCAAATAGTTTGCTTAATTTGACACTAAAAAACAAGGAAACCCATCTTTAAATATGTTTCACCAAACTGTACACTTGCCTCAAGTGGAGCTACCAGTAAAAACAACATGGACTATCAAATTTGAACTATCTGTTTTGAAAAACATCTTAACAATATAATTTTGTTGTTTTTTTTACATTAATGTTTGATTGCAATATTTATTTAAGAAATGAACTCCATAGATGCGACCAATTTTGTGGTAGATATGCTTAATGTAAAAATCCACACTAATGGCTGAACTTGTATCCTAACATTTCTGTAGGAACAGTGCCTAGAATCTTAAAGATATATATTCCACACTGTAATTTGCAAGACATCAATGTGGATGGACCAGTTTAAAGAAAAATGCTGATTGAAATGAACTAAAGCTCAAAATTATAATAAAAATTACCAAATGTGTTCACTGATTGGTTAATCCTTAGAATATGATTATTATTCAACCAATCATGTTGCTTCTATTGTATATATTACATGCTGATATATCATGACAACTCTGGCCCTGACCAGTTCCTCAGATATGATATCGTCACACTCAGTTCCTCAGACGTGATATACAGATATGATATCGCCTCAGACGTGATGTACAGATATGATATCGCCTCAGACGTGATATACAGATATGATATCGCCTCAGACGTGATGTACAGATATGATATCGTCACACCCAGTTTATCAGACGTGATAATTATACAGATATGATATCGCCTCAGACGTGATATACAGATATGATATCGTCACACCCAGTTTATCAGACGTGATAATTATACAGATATAATATCGCCTCAGACGTGATATACAGATATGATATCACGTCTGTATATCACGTCTGAGAAACTGTGTACACATCCGTATATCATGTCTGAGGAACTATGTAGAGATATCACGTCTGTATATAACGTCAGAAGAACTAGGTAGTGCCAGAGTTGTCGGACTAGTATCGATACTGTTGTAGCTTGCCGTCATCACTTGAATTCATTCCTTCTCAATCAATGGTAGCTGATTTTATTTTGTTGTGTTTTCCATGATTATTTTTATGGAATAAAATCTGTATTTGATAATTTCACTTTTTTTTATAATTTGTATATCTAAAGGAGAAACTGAAATAATGGTGCTTATTGATGCCATCAGTGACCCACAGTGATACACATAATATTTAAAACTTCGTTACAATCCCTTTAATAGGCTACGTTTAGCAATTCCATAGCTCTCAACGCTCGGGTGAAATAAAATGTAGAGTTTTATGTCTTTAGCTAATGATAACTATCATCGAATGCTTTTATTCAGTCAGTAGGTATCGGACTAAGATTCAGATTGGAAATGAAGGAGACGAACTGGCTAACAATGAGTGTAATCCAGTACCTGTTCTATCTTTCCTTAATGACTTTCTACGTCATATTAATTAAAAAAATATAGTGAAAAAGTGGTTTATTGATTGAATAATATACCGTTTCCATGGTAACAATCTTGAACAGACTTCTTTAAGGCGAAAGACAAGATATTTTAATTAATTTTTATTCATATTGGTTTTCAAAAACTGGATAATATTAATTCATTATTTCGTCATTAAGAAGAGGGCGGAAGGAGGGAAGGTGGTAGCTGTCAGTCAAAATGTCACGTGATTGTGAAATTCTTAATAAGTTGAAATAGAAGTTAAGCTAACAATGCTTATTTGATGAAAAAGTTTAAGATACATCATTTTTTTCTTCAAAGATCCAAATTATGGAATGATGTTTACGTTCTTTTCAGTTACTGATTAAGACAGGTAATGCCATAGGCCTGCAGTGTGCAATAGGGGAATGTTTTCCAGGACACCGACTACGTCTTCAACAGTCAGTAGATCTGTAACGTGCCCAGCTTGTAGTATAGCTCGTAGGGCTTCTGTTTACTGTCTCATCTGATAAACGTTTAACAATCAGCCCCTCCGAACTGCATCCCTGATAAGAAATGAAATGAATGGAGTTTGGATACCTACTATATCCCTGAAAATAAGGAACAAGACTTGTCGAACGCAACGGTCTAATTCATTTATATTGAATTATATTCAAGTGAGTTTAATGACCCAGATTTCATTCGCATAATCGACATAATTCACATTTCAATTTTAGAATCATCAAGACATCATCAATCATTGTCACCGATCACAAATATCGATTTTACCTGCAATTTTACCTAATTATTGAAATCTTAGTTAATTAATTAATTAGGCGCCTGTTAGAGACGCAGACACAAAACTTAAATCCCTGAGTATCAAGTTACTGTACTGCTGTAATAAATCCAATTTAGAAATTTTACAATATTCTACAGACTTTCAGTTATAAGATTTCTGAACTACGTCACAATCTATTGTATCATATCATAAAGGGATCTTTCCCTCAAATTTTAGATTATAGAACACGGGAATCCCACACCTAGGTCAGTGCTGTCGTTGAGACTCGACTTAATAACCTTACTACTGATACTTCTAGTCTGAACATATTTCTACCGTGTTTCACTTTAGTAAGTATGCCACGTATTAAGAGCGAGGTTAATAAATATTCAGGTTGTCACATGATTTTCGAACCGACCAATCAACACGCTTCTATATAGTCAGTTTTACATTTGTTTTGTAAATATGAAAATCGTTGATATCATGTAAACACCAGCAACCCATCCCTCTTTGAATGAAAAAGGTCGTTTTGATAGTTTGGAATTCACTGACTATTACGAAACTATTACTGGATAAAATGAACCCCGTCCCATCTAGTTATTGATAAGGGTGTGGTTAAAACGACGATGTTCTTAAAGCTGAAATAGCTATCGGTGTGTTGTGTTAAAATTCAACGACTGAATTCCTTTAAATGTGTATGATATCATCTTTGTGTTTTGAAAACGGAACAATGGTACAATAAAACCTTAGCGCAAGCCTTATCCTGTACGTGTAAAGCCTAATCTCTCTGTCGCCACGTGCATTTCTCGTTTCTGATATTTCCTGATATCTGAATTGTCTCCCTTGGTGTAATCAGGATAATAATTGACTCAATCAATCATCTCGTGTTTTATATGAAAAGGAACCATATTTCTAGAATTATTATGTCCTAGCTATAATCTCATATCTAATGATTTCGTGAGGTATTGTTCAATTTTCAGCACACCGCAAATTGTGGCTGCCAATTTGCATAACCACTTCTGGTCTGTCGTTCCTGTTTAAGGTACGAAAACCAGATACGACAGAGAAGGCCTGGAGCTGAGAGGGAGATCCCCGTCGAACCCCTGTGACCTAAGCCCCACCCCTAATGTAATAACAAGATACATGAGTAAACTATGATGATACACACAAGTCGGGCTGAGAAACTCTTTGGAGATTTCAAACTCTATTTGATGCCTTCACACAAGAAAGGCCCAATCTCTCTACTTTGTACGTTTCTCTTGTCAAAAATGCAGGTCGAAGGGGCTGACATGGATTATATACCGAGGCTCGTGTGCTACATGCTGGGCACATTAAAGATACTTCGGCGGTTGGAAATCGCAAAAGGGGTAGTCGGAATATTTCATCATTGCACATTGCATGGCGTTACCTGTCTTCACCAATCGGGTGCAGAAAAGTAGAATGTCAATCCCATTCTTTTCAATTCATTTACTCCACTGCATGACTCGTAGGTTTTAGAAATTCATCAAAGCAGAAGCTAAATGAGTATTGGTAAACAGTGAGACAGAGAAATGAGTGGGTGGGGCAGTGATGCCTCAAAACAAACAAACAGTACATGTCGAAAACAATACAAATGTACACCATCCCCAATACTCATTTCCTGGTCTATTTCAATCATTCACGTAGTCGCCATTTTAACTCGCTCAGTTTTCAATAACCGTTCACATCTATAGAATTCTACAGAAACTGTAGAAAGGTCAGACGAGGTCAAATTGGTAGAAATTAAAGCGATTAGAATCTACAATGGAAATGCATTTATTCTCATGTTTTACGTCCAATTAACTGGTGCCGAGTGTCTTTAATGGACAGAAAATGAGCATTACTAATTCAAGGAACATGATCTAGTATACTTTAGTCATTTAGTAATTACTTAGTAAGCTATATTGTCAGGTTTTATCAGAACCGTATAGCACCATGTTTCTGTGATGAGACCATAGGACCTTCACGACATGTTAAAATCATGCGGGCCTTAATAATTGACAGAAAATGGCCATTAAGGATGGTAAGAGCAATCTTGCTGGTGCCAAACGTAATTCTGTATTTCCTGCAAATCAAGCTACGTTTTCTCGAAACTATCTTAGCGCTAGGATGTCCTAGAATCTATGACAGAAGATAAGAACCTAGGATGCCCTAGAATCTATGACAGAAGATAAGAACCTAGGATGTCCTAGAATCTATGACAGAAGATGAGAACCTAGGATGGCCTAGAATCAATGTTAGAAGATAAGAACCTAGGATGCCCTAGAATCTATGACAGAAGATGAGAACCTAGGATGTCCTAGAATCTATGACAGAAGATAAGAACCTAGGATGCCCTAGAATCTATGACAGAAGATAAGAACCTAGGATGTCCTAGAATCTATGACAGAAGACAAGAACCTAGGATGTCCTAGAATCTATGACAGAAGATAAGAACCTAGGATGTCCTAGAATCTATGACAGAAGACAAGAACCTAGGATGTCCTAGAATCTATGACAGAAGACAAGAACCTAGGATGTCCTAGAATCTATGATAGAAGATAAAAACCTAGGATGTCCCCGGATCTATGATAGAAAATAAGAACCTAGGATATCCTAGCGCTAAGATCGTTTCGAGAATACTTGACCATGGCTTGATTTAAAGCAACGAGACAATGGTTCATCCATCCGCACCAAACTATTTCATAATTTCTGAATTAATCCAATAACTTGATAATTTATGACTTGACTGACTTGACTTAACAAAACAATGTTAAACTCGAAACCTGAAATCTTTCTATAAGCTGACATTTTACATTTTGTCAGATTTGTCGAATTTTTTGGTTCAGTTATTTTGAAAGATTCGCCTAGTTTTTTTGGTCAGTCTATTTGAAAGATTTGGGTTTTAATTTCGAGTGTTTATGTCCAAATGGATCGTCCGTCACATATCAATTACAGTGAACGAGATTAGTCTTTATTTTATCCGCATTCATCCCATAGTTTTCATTTTTACTTTTTTAAGGTCAAAGGTCAACGATTTACTTTGAAATGAAAATGAAACCTTCAAAGGGATGTAACCCTCTAATTTGTGGACGGTAGTCCAAAATATAGAAAGCGAAACAGCTGCGGAAATTACGCTGATCTTCTATCAGACGTTCGTGTAATTTCACAGAAACGTAACCGGATACGGTATTATACTATTTCAGCCTTAATGGTACTTGCGAGACTGACGTCATGATTTCATGAAATAAAGAAAACAACGGACGTCATAGTCTGGTCAAAGAATCACAGTAACCGTAGACGTCGAACGTAAGAGGAATAGTGCAAAAACATGCAAGTGTCCACGATCCACTCCAGAAAAAGCGCTTTTGAAATCCTGACAAAGTATATCAGGAATCACAGACGTCAAAAGGAACTTGAATAGTGCATAGATGATGCAAGTGTTCTCCACTAACGTACAAAAACTAGGAAACCGCTTTTAAATCCCCTTTTAAACGCAACTGTCATTTATGCAACTCGAAATCAATAAATATACAGCATCATTCAGAATGCATGTCACATTTTTCTATTTCATAACAACACACAGGGGGAATTAGCGTGAATCCATAGTAAATTATAAATGGCGGTTAAATGAGAGTGATCAAGCCGAGATTGGGTAATATTGGTTTAATCTATAGTAGAATCGATACTGTAATCATTATGTAACGTAATTTATCACTCTTCAATCCACGTTAATACCCGTAATATGTAATATAGCATCAGTCTTGGTGGATCAAACTGATAATATAAGAAGAATGTGTGGACAAACTGGAAAGAAACTGATCGGTCGACTTCATCTCTGTACCGTGAAAGGCCTGCTGGCTCAGATGCAACTTTACGGAAACTGCCGAATGTTGTCGAGTGAGTGGATGTCTTGTGTAACTGTCTAGCTAGCTTACTTATGGTACCACGCATTGCTGTTTCTCTTTTTGTGACCATGAGGACTTGATTATCAAAGGGTTACTAGTCTGTTTCCACAAGAAACCCTTGATCCAACTGAGAGATATTCCCATCACAAGACTTTGATTGTTTGGGAATTACGTTTCCCAAACCTTAAAACCGTCATAAGAAAATATTACAACCCCCCTCCTTTTCTCTCCCTTAAAAAAAGTTAAAATCTTTAATTAGCACGTATCGTTATCCATTCAATCATTTTAACAAAACAAAAAAATGGAGTTTCCAAATTTGAAGAGATAGGAGAACGAGATAATTCAATTTGATAAAAAATTCTCCATCATGTAATAAATTATCTTGTTTGAACAGTGGAGAGATTTCAAGGGGAGATTATCAATTTATCATTAATTCTCTCCCTTTAATTTCCCAGTTTTCATCAATTTATCGTAAAATCTGCAGTTAAAGGTATACTACCTCTTAGAATAGACAAAAAAATTTAAATTCTCAAACTTGGTCAACAAGTGCATATATTCATCAGTTGGACTTACCAGGTGCCACGACTAAAGAATAGAATCTCTATATAAGACGTTAACGGAAACACTCTTCTGAGCATGTTTCAAAATTATTTAGTTTAACGAATTATTACTTAGTTTTATGGATTTATTTGACTATAGAGGAATTCTTTCGTGTAGTTTCAACACAAGTTAGGTTCACTGATGAAAGAAGACTCGTTTAAACCAAGTTGTAAAATTTAAATTTTTGGTCATCCTAAGAGGTAGTATACCTTTAAGTTTATTTCAATCAACAGACTAAGGTTTGCTTTGAAGAAGTGCGAATGTCGTGTAAAATTAAAGACGTGATGAAAAGGACACCCCATTTGATCGAATTAAGGACTGAGTATTAGATTTTCACTTGTATTGATTTGAAAGAAGTCTGTGGGGTGTTTTTGATGTTTTTTTCCATGAACTGAGTTCAATATATATCCCAGATCATTCTAAATCAATGACGTAGACATGAGTCCAATATATAGATTACAGTATTTAATAAGAAATGAATGACGAAAACTAGAAAGAGTAAGCGTTTTGCACCCGCAGTGACAAATAATCCCCTCCCCCCCCCCCCCCCCCCCCCCCCCCGTTAGAAAAATGGTTTGTATCCCAACCACTCCAAATGTATCCCTACTTTATTTTTCACAATTTTGAAAATTTTCTTGGGGATAAAACCGACTCCCGCATTCCCTTAAGCCTCCCGCCTATTTGTACCCCCAGTCTCGTACCCATCGAGCAAGGCCTTGCACCCCTTACCCCCAAGAAAAGAGGCTGGCCCGGCTTTGCACCGACCCCCACCCCCACTTTCACAGCCCCACCCCCACACCCCCCCCCCCCCCAACCCTCTTGGGAAATTTTGTGGCCCCTGCTCGGACCCTTAACCTTATGCTTCCTAGGACCGTCAATGCAGACGAGATTCATATTCTTTATATGAGTAAAAAAATATATTAAAATATTGTTTTAAAAACAACGTGATCAATAAAGATTAGTGAAACATGTGGATCAAAAACTGAACTTCCAGGTTGTTATGTCTGTTTCCGTACTGATTACACCAATTCACATTGGAACCATATTTCAATTCTCTTAGACTATTGTAAATTGATGAATGGTTCGAACTCTTGGGCACCTAATTCCATAAATCTATAGAAATATTATCGCTAATCTGTCGAATTTAATGTTTTCTGTAACAGATTACGGTCGATTAGAAATCTGTTTATCAAAATATAAAATCATTTTTAAAAATCTCTGTTTCTCTTGCAAGTTTCCGTGGACTGTTGTGCTTCATTAGGTCGGTTATTTATCGGAATTAAAATAGCTGGTATTGATCAGAGAAACAGTTCAATCATCATTACAATCCAAACTTCATGTCTGCACTCAGCACAACAAATGGTTTTTCTGCCTCTGCCTTGAGCGACAACAATCAAAATAGTTATTGCATCGATGCTGGTCCGGCTGAAAGAGTGTATTTTTCTGCCTCTCTCTTAAGTCCATAATCAAAACAGTAAATGTATCGATCTTGAATAGAAACTATTCCAACGACCGTGGGTCTATGTACTGAATTACATTAGAGTTAATTTTGGTTTTGATATAGGATGATGTTGCGATTGTAGAAGGTACCTTGAAAACACAAATATAATTAATTTTCCGATCGTAGATCTTCCAATTGAGTACATGTATATGTGTATCCCTATAGCAGGAAATCCCTTGAGCTAATATTCGTACCAAATCAAACTGCTGTTGCGATTCCAACTAACTTCTTCCATCAAATCGAATCATAGATTACATGATTTTCTTAAAGTTAAATTTCGTACCAAAAGAAAACACACTGTTGCGATTGTAGATCTCCCAATTGAGTAAACATAGTATACATTTCCAAAACCTAAAAAAACTCCAGCCTTTTTTCTCTTGGGGTAATTTTCGTACCAACTGAAATCACACTGTTGCGATTATAGAGCTTCCAAATAACTTCTTCCATCGAGTCATTGATTACGTGATTTTAATTAGATTTAACATGATTACAGGCAGTCAGTTAAACAGATTTCGTGCTTAACTTTCTGTATTTCAACCAGGGTCGGCTCAGAGCACGACTTCACAAAGATACTTAGTCATTGGCTGTCATTGGCTGTCAGACCGCAGTGTTTATAACTCTGGTTTGATACATGTCTTCCAACCTAACCGACAATTATAGCAGTGTAAATTGAATCAGTCAATTCGAGTCTCTTTGGTGTTTTTCCAATGTTTTCTCATTACAGTAATCGCGGTTCAAAGCGAACAGCAATAAGGAAACAGCCATAGAACGAAATGAAAAAAATTTTTATCAAATAATAATTTCTGACATTTCCAGACAATGCTCTTAAAAAGACAGATGCGCCATTTATTTGAGTCTTGAAAATATGTAAATAGTCTTCAGAACTACTAGAAATGTACGAAAATCGCACGATTCCTCCAAAAAATACCTCAAACTAGGAATATAAAGTTCTATTTTTTTTATATATGTCTTTTCTATATGATAGAGGAAGTTAAAAAGACGAGTCGCGAATAATTCTGGACACACATGCATTTGAAGACTCAAATTTCGAAGGTGAGCTGTGAACACTATTACTGATTAGCTTAGTCGAATAATTCCCGTTTCTGAGACTAAAATATGATTGGTCCATTGAATGGCGAACCCCGTTAACAATACGTTATGTCTTAAAAATCTCGAAAATGTTTAACATTCAACAGAGTGAGATTCATTATGTAAACAGACTTTATTCGAATGAGCATCAACTATCATTTACAATTAAATCATATTGGTTGATAACGTTTCAATTAATCTGCTGTCAAAACCTTAATTAATACATGTATCATCGATATATCGATGGTCAAACAGAACTCGAATGTACATTGCCACAGTAAAACGCAACGAGGACCGTACCCTCGTCACTTCGCACCTTAATATCATCAAAAAGGTGTGTCTATATCTCCAACAGATATTACCAATATCGATATGTTATCAGTTAGGTAGGTACGTCTATATTAATGACAAGCGCCGCTCCGCGGGTAAACCGGACACCGATTTACTGTTATCTTGATAGGGTTGGATAGTATCTAGATAACGATTTATGAGCAAGTCGAAAAGTTGAAATGGTATATCTAAAGAACGTCTAAAGAACGTTTTGTATCTTATAGGAATGATCTATCAATATTATATACTTTTATGTAACTTTCTCGTCGATTCTAACATAATTGCACACCGCACAGCGTTGTCCTTCATTAGTCCAATTAGGCGAAGAAGAATATGACGTAAAATTCCTTTTCATTTCATCATATTCATAACACAAGAAATACCGACAAATGTACTTCATACTTCTCTGATAGTAAACATTGCGTACTCGGTTTAAAATAAGTCAAGTAGGATGTAAAACTCCATTTCAATGCGTCTACAAAGCTTACTGACTCATTCAATCACTGGCCACAAATATTACCCAAAGTGACTTCATTATTAGAGAGCGTGTAACCAATATCGCCCTCTGTCGACGACTGATTATTTACTCTGTAGAAAGCTATACAGTACTGTAGAATAGAGAAGTACACGGCAGTGAGTGAGTGCACCAGTCAGCGAAAGGCTCTAGGATTGTAGTCAAGTTTAAGGATTTAAAATGAAGGATTTTATAATGTTAGGGATTTTATTTTTAATATCTTTAGTGAAAGGTAAGTTTTGATTTTATCTCTTATTTTGTTATCTTTTTTGTCACACATTTAGACATTTTTGAATATGTATTTTACTATAGTAAGTAATCGTATACTAAGTCAAGAAAACTTTGGAATTTACTTAAATGTCTCTCTGTCTCTGTCCCGATTTCACGAATTGTAGACAAACTTCATTCCTTGGCACTCTATTCTTCTTGTTCGTTGACACAAAAAGAAACATTTTTCAATTCGTAGTTTACCTGCGCGGCAAAATTTAGCAAGTCAACATAGGTTTACTCAAGAAAACTCTGGAATTTACGAAAACATCTCCCGGTTCTGATTAGCAAATTGTAAACAACCCTCTTTTCTGGGCACTCTTTTTTCATCTTCTTTGTATACAATGTTTCGATATTTTTACAACAGAGATAGATTTTGCATGTATAGGCCTACACAGAATTCACAGAAATTTTTCCGGTTCCCGACTTAAACAAATTTTGACCAACCAAGGGATGAAAAATGTAACAATCTTTCAACAGTAACTGTTTATCTATTAATGTTCATAGTGACACAATTAACAACATTCTTACCATATTTATTTTATCAGCGATATCATAGCCAGTAATAAACATAGTAAGACTACTAAAAGAGGGGGGGGGGATGTTTTCCAGAGTCCTTAATGGAAGTATCTCTTGACCGAATAAAATAGTTGGGTCCGAGACGATGGTGACAATATCAGTAATTCTGGGA